GGATCCAACGGGAGCTCGCGCGAGGCCACCGCCGCGCCGGAGGCGATCTCCCGCGCGATCTCCCCCATCTCCCGCGAGGTCGTGGCCTCGTGATCGAAGCGGTTCCGCGTGCGCCGCCCGGCCCCGACGCGTTTGCGCAGCTCCGACGCGACCTTGTGGCGCCGCCGCATGTCATTCTTGCGAATCCGCTGCTTAAACGTCACCTTCCGTTGCGACATTTTCGTTTGCGTCTTTTTTTTTTCTTATTCTTATTTTTTTTTTTTTTTTTTTTTCAGGGGAGGGGTTGGTTGGTTCGGTTCGGTTCGGTGGCTTTGGGTGACCCCTCGGGATGTGAAAACGTGTGCGAGACGGATACGAACCACACGAACGGCGTATGCTTGGTGTATGTGTGTGTGTGTGTGTGTATTTCTCCTTGAAGGATACGGATTCAAATAGGAATAAGAATAGTCATGAGGTGATAATAAAGGATAAAAGAATCATCCAATGCAACCAAACTTGCGCTGAGACACTTCCGCGACGACTTCAGGGAAAATGGTTAGGTGGCATTTTGGTATTCCATCCCTCCCCTTGAGCGGCGAAGAAACATACCCACCGAAAAGTATTCCTCTCGTTGCGGCTGCGGAAAGTTCGTCACGACCAAGACAGTTGCGTATTACGCAAATAAGAAAGACGAAATAAAAAAAAGCATTCGACATCCCACAAAGGACGGGAGAGGGGGGAGAAGAAAAAGCAAAGCTTCCCTTTCTGAATACCCTAGATTTCCATCAGAAAACTTTCCGATGGCGATCCGATTTAAACCCGACCCAAAGGGCACTCCCCGAGGAACCCCTCTCTCTTCCCTCCTACGCGGTATGGGATGCGCCTCGTAGGATGTGGTAGACGTTATTTCTCCCGTAGAATCCACTAAAGTCGATCCACGTGAGCAACGGTACGAGCTGGGTGTAATCCGCCCCAATCGGCGCCGCGAGCTCCGAGAGGGTGCGCAAAAAATCCTCCTCGATGGCGTGCAGCGTGGCCTCGATCAACGGCGCGGTGGTGGTGCTACTATGCACACCCAACTCACAAAATCGGCGGCAAAGATCCAGAATGTGGGATAAGCTCGAAAACCGCTGCGGGCTCGCCATCGCAAGCCCCAGTTCCACCCCTTCAAAGAAGTCATTCAAGGCGTTGGTGATGGAGAAGACGCTATCGGTCTGCAGCACGCGGCTCACCATGCGGCTCCACAACGGCTCCACCACAAAATGCGCGGCGTAGAAGAGAAACTGACGTAAAAACTGCGTGAGTTGGTGTTTGATGCCGTACGCGGCGGCAAAACTCGAGAGCGCCTCGTTTGTATACCACAACGAGGCCAGCATCCGCTCGCACGTTTTCATCCAAATAATCAGCCGAAAGATGCGGTTGAAACGCTCGATCACGTGGGCGTCGAGCACCAGCGTGAGCGGCCACTGGAGCTCCGCCTCGAGCTGCAAAAGATGGATGCAATGGGGAACGTCGCGGGTGGCCGCGTTTCCTGGTGAAGGGGCCCCGCCGTTTCCCTCCGCCTTCGCCCGAAGGCAATCCTGAAGAAGCGAATCCGCGAAGTTGCAACTGATGCAGCCGTGGTACGGGTCCGAGGCCGCCGCGCCGCCGCGCGCGATCGCGGACTGAAGGAGCACCCGCAGGGAGTGGATTTTCACCTTATCGGGCGGCTTCATCAATAAATCCGCGGCGCTCTCGAGGAAGTCCACCACCCAGTCGCTGCGCTCCTGCAAAAAGTAAGTTTTGAGCGAGGAAAGGTGCCCCATAAAGTCGACGGAGGAGCTAAAAAGCATCTGAATCACCGCCCCGCTTGCGATCTCGAAGGATTCTTGAATTTTGCTATGCAGGGAGTCGACCCCGGACCACTCGAGGAGGCCCTCGCCGGCGGGGTCGTCGAAGTTCGGCCGTGCGTGATTGCTCTCCCGCAGCAAGCAGCAGTATTTGCCGGCGAAAAACACCATCTTCGGGATCCGACTCGGCTTCTCGATAAAGGATGGAATGAGAAGCCGATTCATCGAGAAACGCCGCTCAAAACTCACCACATCCTGCCGCGCCGCCGGGCGGGGAAGCGCGGCGGCGGCGGTGGATAGGGAGGCGTCCCCC